AAGATTGTCCCTGACTAAACCATCCCAGCTAAGTGTCTATCCAGTTTGCTCTTGAACATTTCTAAGGTTGCTGTGGCTTCTGAAGTTTTGCATTTTTTTTTTTGTCTAAATTGGTAATTTTAAATCTAGAAATCCTAATCTTTTGTATAGCAAAGCAATGGGGAATCGGTTTCACAGAAGGCTGCTGCTTGCTGCCGGTGGTAGCAAACACATGCCTCTTTCCATTGCCATGAATCTTGACTTAAAGATTTTGTTCTTAGTGGAAGTGTTGCCTCCCGCTCTGTGAAGTCTTGATAGAAGACTGTATGGTGCCATGTATAAATCCAACCTTAACTCACATAACTTGGAAAAAAAAAAAATCAAGAACACTAATCTGAACTCAGATTGCCTATAGAGTCTGACACTTAAGTTGATGCGCACTCAACATTCTCTCCCCCTCCTTTTCACTCCCCTATCGTAACAAGCAGGAGTTAAGAATTACGTGAAAATAGTGTAGGGATGAAGACTGCGATCAAATTGTTTAACTGTAGTGATCTTGGCACTTTTTTTTTTGTCATGGTATGGTAGTTTCATTCAACAATGACACCAGGAGGTAACGTTACGCAGGAAATATACAGTAATAATAATGTAAATTGAATTTGGTAGCTTGCAAAAGGGAAGGGTGCCAGGTAACTTGTTGTCCACTGCTTTAAACCGAAGTGGAACAAGCACCTTGAATGTTACATGTTTAATTAGCTTCACAAATCTCAGAGGTGAAGAGCTTGAGAGAGACCATAGATTTTTGTAATAGTGTTTGTTGTTGAGTTTAAATATCTTCAGAGGAAAACTGGTTTCTGCATGTGAATCTTCTCTGGAGTCTGGTGAAACCAGCTCTTTGAGAAGAGTCCGCTGCAGCATTTTTCTGTGACTTGTAAACAGCTGGTGGCATCAAACACCTATCTTGGTTCATTTAATGTCCGCCATTTATCACTTACAGGGTTCAAAAGTCTGTTAGTTCTCTGCAGCCTAAGACAAAATTCTGTGTTTGAAGAATCAATTGTTCTGACACTGTTTTGTGACTCAGTAATTTAAATTTACTGTATGAGTGCCTAGTACATGCATGTTGGCAGCATCTTGCATACTTCGTTTTCTTTCCATGTCTTCTATTAAGTCTGCTTATTCTTTGTATTTCCAGTCTTCATTTATTTTCCAAACACTTTAAATATAGGCGTGCAACTTGGTCCCTTGTGATGTCACAGTCATCAGATTTTGCTAAGCTATATTGATCATTACCCAGCTTCCTTCCTTACCAAAGGCACTGCCCTCCCCTGAAAATGACAACTGCTCTTTGAGAGCAGATCTGCGTGACTTCATGTGCCACTCTGGATTTTGTTTTTCTTGCTGTGTTTTGGGATTTGGGACCTGTATAGTCCTAAACTTTGCTGTAGAAACACTTTATTCATAAAGTGGATTGCTACAAAAATCATTGGCTTATATGGGTACTTGTGGCATAGGTGCTCAGAAGGAGGATTCTTATAGGCAAGCAGAAGATGGGCTTCTCTGGGCATTCAGCCCTTCTTTATATTCATCTTGTCTAACTTTCTGCAGACCCTGTGAGAATATACCAGTAATTTTGGAAATACTTTAACATGAACTAATCTGTTTATACTCGGTACTTCAGTTTCTCCTGCCAAAACCTTGCAATTTACTATGGTCTCCAGAAAGCATTCTTAATTATTTGGGATTTGATTTTAAGTCATAATGTAGAGGAGGGTTCTACCAGCTGTACTCCTTCCTCTTCCCCACCCCCACCGCCCTAGGTTGCTATTCAGCCTTACTTTCTAGCTTTGTAAGAAAGCAAACCTTTCATAGGACAACTACTCAACTTTAGTTTTTTGTTTTTGTTGGTTTTTGTTCTTTTCCTGAAAAGAACCTCTTACGTCCAAGTGTTTCTACTCTTCATATAAACATTTTAACAGATTACCTGTTTCAGTTTTTTCAAACAAGTTGAAGGAATTCCTTCTAATACATCTCACTATCTTTTCATTGCAGAACATTATTTGGCACTTTTAGCCTGTTCCTGGTAGCTGTTTTGCAAACTATCACTGTTAGTGATGTCATCAATCTTGACATGATTGCAAACAGCAATAGTTGTTTTAATAATGGTTTAATTGTTTAAATGAGTTTCAGTCTATGGTGAGATCCCCCTTCAGATGAAGGGGATTAATTTTAATGTCAAGTGGTTCAATTTATTACTCTTAACATTCTGTTCTAAGTTTTGAGACATGTTGTTGGCTTTCTTTTGCATGTACATTAAACATGGTTTTATGTACTTAGTTTTTTTCCCAAAAAATAAAGACTTTTCCTTCTAGGAATCTTCAGTTTGATACAAATCCTGAGCCTGTTTTTCTTGATGTAGTTACAAGCATGTTCTACATTCCCAAGTTCCCTAGGTATAGATGGGCCAGCCTGCTACTTTCATATAGTTCCCAACCAAAATTTAACAAATCCAAAAGGCTGTTTCTCTCATGAAACAAAATGAGCCCAAGCAGCTTGGCTGTATAGAAATTTCTTGCAGGTGTATAGCTGTCTTACATTGATTTGGAGTCTTGTTGCTCTGTACCAAAATACTGCGTAACTTGTATGGCTTTCTTGTAGGGACTTTACTTTTTTGCATTCCCCAGCACCTTTCTCTGATTGTATATTATACCAATTATAGTTATGTTTCCCTTTGTGGCATGGTAGGGTAAGGTGCAACTATTATGGTGAAGTGAGAGATTTAGCTTCACTGATATTTGCATGTCAAATTGTACCCTAGAAGTTAACTTTGAACTTGGGGCAAAGATGTACATCAACAACAAAACACATTACCAAAGGCTGTCTTGGCATTTCCACTCAGAATTGGCACTTTGTTGTTGTCTTGCCTATATAGGTATCACTTTGAGCAACGAAACCTCTTTAGGAAAATTGATAGGAAGCCAGTACTGGGTGTGGATTGGTATGTACCAAGATCTTTAGTCAGAGTATTTACTGTAGTTTGACACAGGTGTGGCTGCAACAAAAAACAGCATTGTACTAGTTATATAACCTTTCCTACAGTACAATAGATTTGAGGCCATATTGGTTACTTATTAATTTGGGAAAACTATTAGATGACCTAAAATGCTTGAGGGATGGTGAAGATCAAGGAATAAATTATATTTTGCCTGTAAGAAGGCAGGCTATGCCTCAAAAGAGAACGTATCAGTGCGAGTATAACTTTTCAAGGAAAAAACCTCATGGCCCAGTTTCAGAGATTTGGGAGGGGAATTTTTTGATGAATAAAGTGCTGGTGACTGCAGAAGTGTTGGATCATGTTGGTGGGTTGAGCAGGAAAGTGCTGTTAAGTGTATTTTTTTTTATTACCTCCCTTTACCTCCTTTTAAGGGTGCCAAGTAGTTGAACTGTATTTCTTCATAATGTGGGTAAGCATTAAAGAGCATGTGCTGCATCAAGTGAACCTATGCAGAGGTTTTTAACAGTCTTCAGCCAACATCACAGTGCAGTGAAAGTTGTTCTGTTCCCCCCCCC